GAYCTACAGATCGAATCCCTACTACTACACCGACCTAGGACAGACCACAACAACTGCCAAAACACAGGTCACGGGTTCAAACACTCGGGGTCGACACAGATACTGTACACAGGTAAAGTGAGAACTAGGGATCGAGCACTGGGATCTGCATTCGCTACTGCTAAAGGTGAAAACCGTTTCAGACTTGCCATGAGGAGGAGGAGGTGAGACGACAGTAATTATGATCAATAGGACCAGGAGAAGGGAGGAGGGAAGGAGAGAAGCGCAATAAGTGGCTTGGCCAAGGATGAGATTGAGGGCAAGAATAGAGAGGGAGAGAGAGGAGCACAGCACGTGGTACGAAAAACGGTGACATTCAATTTTTATAAGAGAGGTGTGCAACATAAACGGAGGATCCAAGGGGAGAACTGGCTGTGATTATGGATGTTAATGGCCAGGGAAAAAAAAAAACAAAAAACATATATCGTCAAAGAGAAGTGCCCGGTAAACCGTCGGCAGGGAGGGTGAAGAGGACAACAAATGAGGGGCTGTGACAAACTGTTTCGTCGGAGTTTTACCGACTCAAGGACAAGGAGGGTAGAGGACGCAACATGGTAAATACTAAATAGCACACCAACAGGAGAGAGAGCTGGAGATACGAGGAGGGAGAGAGAGTAGCAGCATAGGCACAGAGTAGCAGCATAGGGGCAGCAGTATTTCCCCGACATACTGAGGCAACATACGAGTAGTGGAGAGGAGGGTGAGAGAGGTGCGGAAATCATCACAGCAGAGTCTTTTCATGCATTTTTTTTATACAAGGGCAAGGCGGGCAGAGACGCAAGATGGTAAATGCTACATAGCACAGCACAGGAGAGAGAGAGAGCAGGAGATTCGAGGAGGGAGAGAGAATGGCAGCAGTATTTCCCCGATATACAGAGGCAACATGGGAGTAGTGGAGACGAGGGTGAGAAAGATGCAGAAATTATCACAGCAGAGTCTTTTCACACATTTTTTAGTCATATCCCTTTATATTCGGTAAGCGAGAGGAAGACAATGCAGGGTTACGTTTTTTTTGTTTCATGCTCTGCCAGGAAGACCGGACAGGAAGGGAAAAGATTGGAAAGCCTGAGCATAGTGCATGCCTGCTCAATGCACAGGATGAGGAGCAGGTTGAATGGCAAGACGAGGGAGGGAGCTTGGAGTCCGGACTGCAACGGTGCCAAGGCTCGAACCGTGGACCTGTTGTGCACCGCTTCATGTTTCATCATGTGTCGTTAGACAGTCTTTCTACCAAGATATTTTTATGCCGTGGGACTTCCCGTCGAAATCCCTGGTACCCTGGCATTTTGCAGATCTGCCCATCAGCCATTTTGGCGCCCAAGTTCCCCTTTTCAATTCTCAAACCTTTTGGCACCAATTGGGTCCGTTCAAACCCAAACCACACTCGTGACTCGTTTCCTGATCCGTTTTATTCCTTTGTCCAAACAATTGACTGTGCTGCTGAAATCTTCAGGCAGTGTCCAAGTCTGTTCCAGGCTCTCGTCATCCTTCTCCTCCTCGCCTCCCACTCAGACTCTGTGAGTCCTGCTGAGACAAGCTCACATGTGCGAGATCTCTAAGTCTCTACACCAGTCCTGTGACACAGGTGATGGCACAGGAGGGGACAGTCTCTGTTGCTGGGGCCCCAGCCCCAACAGGTCGTCTGCTCAACTACGATCAAGTGCTTCAATCCTGATGCAGACTATAATTTCGGCGCAAAGCTTTTCAGAAAGAAAACCAAGAAAAGAGAACTCTTGGCTTTTTCAACCACGCTCTCGCTTCGGAGAGGCATGGAAGTTGCTGAAACGTAAACAAAAGTTCGCAAGGCATTCTCCGTGGTCCTCGAGGGTCATCATGGCCGTCTTTGAGACCCCCTCCAAAACAACTTCATCAACAGATAAACTTCATAAAAGTAATAAAAAAGAAGGCCCACTGAAATTAAGGCAAAGGAAGAAACCTAACATACGAAACCTACGCAAAGACGAGCGCTGCTGCAGCAAAAACATGGTAATGGTAGCTTTCTATGACACCATGCTCTTCAAACAAATCCAGGATCTCCTGGTCGCTACAAAGCTCGTGGATATTCTCAACCAGTAAGTACTGGCTCTGCACATGCACACAAGCACAACACATTGACCGCCACAGAGAACCAAAATAGCACAACAAATTAACGATCCACAAGACCATGATGTCCATCCACACAGGAGAGAGATTAAGAAAACATTGATCTCGGAAGTCGAGATAGATAATGTGCTGTTGAAACTGCAGTCGGCAAGAAGGGCAGATTCTGCACCCACCGAAGGCAGCCAAGACCCCCGCGCTTTTTATTTTCCAGTGTTGGGGGTGGAGAGAGGGGGGGAGGAAAGGGGTATAAATAGGGTTCAAAGTTGCTTTCAATACTTGCTATTCCTTCCAACGGGTGCACCTTTGATTTCTTGTATGTTCTTTCCTACCTTCGATTCAATGGGGGATTCTCACATGACCCTCATCCAAAAGTTGTTTGCATTGCAATTGTAAGAAACATTCTTTTTTCAAGTTTTTTCCCCTTTTCTTTTTCTCTTTTTTTTGTGTGCTGAGGTTTCCCAGGACCTTACCCACACATCTGGAAAGGTATCCTAGCGTATAATTTCTGTGTGTGCAGAACAATGCCCATATTTTCCACCTAATCTAACAAGCACCTAACAAGCACCTAAGTACCTACCTAACAAGCAGCTCAGTGCGTACAATTCGGGGCCTGCATTCAACACCATCACAAGAACGAGAAACGTGAACCCGATATAAAAGCAACGCAACGCACTTGTGGTTAATAGGTGGTGTCATTTTCGGCAAATTTTTCACAGAAACTTCATGTTTGGAATTTCCCTGAATTTTTGCTTTTTTTTTGGGTCGTTTTTCATTGGCATATGTATGTCCCATAGGGTATATCTATACTCAGTTTCAACGTATTTGGACCAGTAATGAAAAACACCGAATTCAGAGCAACATTTCACAAATTCCGAAAGCTACTCCGAATAGGGTTTTTATAATGCTTTTGAGTTTTTTTTTTCCGTTTTTTTTTGCCTGTTTTTTTTTTTATATTTGTATAATGAGCCTGCATTGTTTGTTCGCGAAATTTTCGATGGCATTGCTTGTGCAAGGATCAGGGTCCTCGGCAGGCCTAAGGGGCCCTATTACAGAAGTGCCCGCCTTAAGTGAAGGTGGGCCTAACAAATCGTGACAGGCCCTCTGCTGTCAATTTCGTATTTGGGGTACAGCCAGTTGTGATGCGCCAGTTTGTTGAGGGAAAACACAGGCCGAGCAGGACAGATATTCCACGGCCTACCAGACCTTTCTGGAAATGCAGGCCCTCGGGGAGAATCACAGCCTCATACACAGACAGTTGGGAGGCCCAACCGAGCGGAGACCCAGCAGCTGTATCGGAGGCACAGCCTCCTGAGTTCTACCGGAAGCTTCTAAGCAGAGGCCCAGGCCAGCCAGGCCGCCGATCGAGGCAGGCTCTTTCCATATAGGAAAAAGCTCGCTGCCTGGGAGGATGAGGCACTTGCATGCTAGCGGCAGCGCTGCTGGAGCGGACGCTCGTGGGCTGCTGCTGGCGCTGAGAGGCAAAGGTGCAAGCACATGCGGTCATGTGTGATTCAGGGCGCTGCTGAGGGTAGCGCCATAGGCCAGCCTTCATAGCTGGCTCGGGTTTGGTCTACAGTGAGGCGCAGAGGTGGTCTTCGGGTGTACAGAGGGAAGACGTGGGAGTAAGACGAGGGAGAGAGAGAGAAGGATGATGATCATGATGATGTGAGGGCACATACCTGGTATTGGCGATGGTCTGCATCTGGGCGACATCTTCAAGTACCTCGTTGGCTGCGGACATCAAACAGTTGAATTGTCAATTAGTAGGCAGAGCGTAGCTGTGTACGAAGTAGCCTGGGCGCCGAGCGCCAAGTAGGGAGAAGGTCCTGGACTCGTGTTGGTGGTGGCGAGAGCAAGCTCTCATTGACATTGGTTTTCAGTGTTACGGTTCTCCATTGGTGTCATATTGGTGCAATGCTGCTTTCTGGACATTGGCACACTTTCTGGCTATCAATGTGATTGTGTATTCTGGATATTGGCATCTCGCTTCGGCTCATTTTCCTTGCAATTTGGTATCGGAGCTGGTTCGAACTGCGCTTCATTGGTTCTTCGCAATAGCTGTTTGGTGCTTTGCATGAGGTGTGGAGCAGTAACAAGGCTTGCGCGTTGAACGATTGGCGGCCCAGGGTCGTGTGGGCGCGCCAGGAAGCTGTGTGGTGACATTAAGGGTGTACGGTGGATGATGAGAGCTCGCTGATGTGGCATGTAAGCCGAGGCGAAACTGCATTTTGTGCCGAGGCAAAGACCGATCATCATAAATGCACGTCAGGTTGCCGGTGATAAATCCATGGTTGGGGTCAGCATTATGAGGTACATTGCTCTCTTCCTTATCTACCCTCTTCATTGCTTCTTACCATGAGGAAGTGAGTTCTGTCTTGAGAGTCCTCTCAATGTGAGGTGTCGCGAGAGCTCAACCTTGAGAGTCCAGATTCTTCCTGGGCAGCAAGCTGGTGGGAGACGGGCGAAGCCTCTGAAGGGCCCTGGACGAAGCACTCGGGTCACTGTCACCATGCCAACCCGCTGGAACTAGTACATGCACGCTTTGCCGCAAGTCCTTGCTTCTGCTGCTGCACAATAGAGGTCATGCAGCGCATGCCAGCCCTTTGAACAGGACGCTTACCAGACCGTCGTCTCTAAATATTTCTGGCAGGTTCTGGTGTTGAACCCTGGCTGTGATCGTCGTCCGGTCTGCGACGTCAAATAATTCCTGAGGACCTTGGGGGCTGCTCTTAAACTGCCTCTTGATCAGACAGATCAAACCGGATGTAAGGCTCATTGCATGCGAGGGTAAAGAATGTGCAAGGGCTGGCAGGTTCAGCATAGACTTGGGGCACAGGGGTGGGCCGGATTGCACACCTTCAGACACACCGCTCAACCAGATGCTCAGGGTGTTGACACAAAGTGACCACACTCAAGAAGGATACAGGAAGAGGGGGGATTCCAGTAACTGTCCGCTGCGGCATTAATTAGACAAACTGCCATCCAGCATACAACTCCACAGGTAAACTGTTTTGTTTTTGATTATTCAGTAGTACAGACTCGTTGACCACTGACAGACAGCTGCAGATAGGTCAATATCTCCCTTGCTGCATTGCAATCTGTACTAGAATAATCTAAAAATTGAACTGGTGTTACCTGTAGGATCTGACATTATTTGTTATTGACCACTTAACTGTTTCTCTCCAGGCTGACCGAAAATAGTTGTTAATCATACTCGGTTGCGTGTCATGCTGAGGTAGGATTCAGTGTGGATTCTAATTTAGATCACACGCACGGTAGCTCATGAGCGATGCAGGCACTAGTGAGGAGGAACAATTAGTGGAACCCCTAATTCCAGACCAGGCTTTACAAGGCCTCGCTTTCAAAGAATTATGGTCAGATTCGTGCACTTCAGACAAGACTGGCACAAATTTTACACGCCAGATTGTTAGCCGTTTGGCGTGTCACCATGGACAACTCTTCGACGAGAGGAAAAATGGAATTAGTCCGGACTTCGAACACCACGTAGAGCTGCTCTCAGTCGACCAATCACTTTCCCAGAGTTAGCTCCAAGAGAGGAAAGGAGGCTGCGGAGGGAAGCTAGGGAGAGGGCGACATTAAGGAGGGTTAGGTCAGCAGCAGCCAGCTTAGAGGTCGTGATGGCTACTGCTTCCAGTGTGTGACAGACCTCATCCCAGGCCACTTCGTCAGGGTGTTACTCAGGTTTCCGTTAGACTGTTCGCTTGCAAGTCAGTCAACAGACTCAACTCACACCGGAGGATTATGAGATCCTCCAAGCAGAAGAACTTCATGGCGAGCTGCAGCGGCAATTGAGAGAGGCAGCAGAGAGGAGACAGAAAGCTATATTGAGAAAAGCTAGATTAGAGGCACTAGACGAGACAACACTTGATCCTGCAATGCAAGCGTTGCGTAGCTCGCTTCTTTGCGTAGCCGAAACGCAGGTTGTTCAGCAAGAAGTGTTGAATGAACCAGTGGCAGGCCAGAGACAAATTCTGGCTGCACTGCAGGCTCCTCGTCCAATGATGAGGCAGCCTCAGTATGCTGTAGCTCCCCCTTCAGTTGCGGGTCCCTCGGTGACGCCATCGCCAATAGGGCCCTCTTTCTCTCCTATGTTTGGCATGCCCCCTCCAGGTGGTTTAGTAGCAACTAGTGGTCCGGTCCTTAAAGCTTCTTCCATACCATTAACGACGGTGGCAGCTACGGTGCCAATGTCAAGTCAGGCTCAGGTTAGCACGCAGCAACCTGTCTCAGTGGCTATGCAGACACTGCAGCAATCGCCTGGGAAGATCCAACCCATGCAGTGGATGCCCAAGATTCCTTTGCCAAGTCCTAAGCCCTTCTCTTGCGACAGGAAGAAGGACGAGGACTTGGATACCTGGGTGAGGACTGTGCCTACCTATGTGAGGCACAAGCTCACAAGGCCAGAGCAGGAAGTTATAGTTGCTGCCTCCTTTTTAAAGGGATCAGCAGCGCGTTGGTTAAACGGTTTAGTGCAGCAGCAGGGCTATGGTCAGAACTTCAATGCCCAAGCTCAGGCCCAGACATTGGAAGACTTCGTACGGACTGTGTACAAGAGGTGGCATGACCCTCAAAGGGCTCAGAAGGCCACTGAAGCGATCAACAATTCTATGTTCCAAAAGGTACAGGACTTTATGCGAGGTCAGAGATGCCGTAGAACGTCTGATTGTAATACCTGGTGTGCACTACGACCCGCAGATACTCCTCGCAGATTATTAGAGATGTCTGCCTACGGATGTCAAGAAGACAAGGCCTACATAGACCAACATAACTTCGCCTTATTCAGCAAGAAATCCTTAGACATAGAGGCTAAACCGGGATCCACCCATCAGGACAGTCAAATGGTAGGAAGAAGAGACTTCCCCAAGACTGGAAGAAGAAAGGTCAACTCATGTTTGTTGACCATGATGGTCAGGCAACTGAGATTGACGAATTCCCAGACTTTGGGGATGAGAGAGAGCAGG